TAATAATTAGTTTATATTACACTCAAACTTAAAAGATAGATCATACAAATTTTTAGACATTCCTTATTTTATGAGAGCAAGATATATTAAAATTCTAAAATTTCACTGGGTAAATTTGTTATTTTGTCACAATAAGTTGTAGTGCATCGATATAATTATCATCTTATATGGTTGTTAGACGAATAAAAAAATCAGCTGCAAAAAAAATAGGTTGTATAGGTGTCATTGAAGAAGAGAAGAAATTATTTGCCCTACATAAATTAACATCAATTCATCGTGATTGTAGAGAGTTGTAGTGATTGAGCCATTACTGTAACGGGTAACCGACTTACTCTTTCATACATGAATCTTTTTACGCGTTTCAACTCTACAGTTTAATTTAATACGTTTTGATTAAACAGAACTTATGAGAATTGTGCCTTTTGAAAACGCAACTTTTATTTAGCTTAAAAAGGCGAGAATGACCAAATAGATTGTAACACTGACTATATTTGCAACGAACATCGCAGCTTTAAAAGAATTAATGGTAGTGTCTTAGTAAAAAGAAAATAACTTACCAAAATGTTAAATGATTGATTTCATGAGTGTTAAGATTTTGTTACGATATCCGAGATCTCATTGAAGTCCTCTATTTATACAGACTGTGACAGCCACTTTGATGAACCAAGTCCAAATAGTACCGAAAAATTTGCTGACCAGACAGAGATAGTTCCCAAAAAAATAACAAGTATCTAAAAATACTACATCGAACAAGACAGTCACGCAGAAGTGGTGCTGAGGTCGTAACAATAGTCGGAAAAACGAAAAAATAAATTACAGTGAGAAAAATAGTAAACGCGGATGAGACGAGTAAAATAGAAGTAAAAGGTTCATATGAGTGATGAAACGACGTACGGAAAGTACTAAGTAGATCTCACGAGAGCTTGTGCCTTGGTGCTACTTAATTGCTCTTAGCCTGTTGGCTGCTCGTGTCACGCGTAGAATAAAACTGCGGTGAGCTATACAAGAGACGATCAAGAGCAGCAAGGCTGCCTCCTCTCCTACACGGAAGGTATCCTTGTCTATCTCTCTCTTTCTGTTTTTACTGTCCAGATTGAGTGATCCCAGTCTATAATAGAGCCCTGAGCTTTTATTGTATCTCTACTTGCGTGACTAATATCGTAGCTTCCATTGTTGCTGCATTATTACCACGAAAGTTGTAGATTGCTGTGAGGTTTTGCACTCGACTAGTAGCATTTTTAACGAATGTCTAATCCAAAACTGTTAATTTAATCTTTTTTAATCTAAAAACTGTTGATTTCCTACTCGAAGATTTACTATCCCCTGCCTTTAAATGGACTGCACACACATAAGATCAATGAATATTTTCTTACATTTTTTAAAAGCTTTAAGAATCTTCCTCTGGTGTATAATCCTTTTTAGTTATAATATTTTAAAAATCAAAGTTTTCCATGAGTTTTGTAGTGCTTTCATTTAGTTTCCGTTTATGATTTTTTGTGTTGAATACTTTAATAAGTGGTTTTGTAATTTGCATAACAATAACTTTTTACATCACTACAATCATTATCTACAACGCAAAAATATAGACGCAAGCGTCTTAATAAACAAAATTTACGTTTTCTCTTTCAAAAAATTTTACTAGTGCAATAAAGAAGTTTTGAAAAGTCAATTAATAATTTTAACAACAACCATAATAATTTGGGTACAATTTACAAAATGTTTAGTCTTATAATTCATGAGTTCCATTTAAATGATTGTCATGTGATCGTAACTTTCTCATCAGAGCACATAGAGGCCTTTATTTCAAGTTATTTTTTTTGGAAACATAAGATATGTCAATTTTAGATTTGAAGTACTTAAATGCTTTATCATACAATTGAGCATAAAGTTATAATGAATTGTTACGACTATGCAGAAAAACTGTGAGAAACTTTTACAAAAAAGTACCAACATTTAAAAGTAACAATCAATGTAAGTAGAGTGTAATGCATGCTTACGACAAAATTAATTTTTTTCCATCTGAATAGATTCGAAATATCAATATTTTGTGGTACTCATGCTAACGTTGTAACGAAATGTATAAGTGCTTTTATGGCTAAAAAATAGTCCACACATCTAGGCAAAAACTCAAAATTAGACGCCCCAAAAGATTTTGGAGGCCTTTGACACTTTAAAAAATTTTGAATGGTCAACAAAGCTGTCTATGAGCTCGAACGTTATTTTTTCTCCTTTTTTTTTGCACAGCATAACATTTTTAACCGATTTAAAGTTATAAAAATGAATATAGATTATCTTGTAATTGTCATTCAATACTTTTATTCGATACTGACAACTTTACTAAGACACGTTGTTTTTCATTGTTTATTAATAGACGTTTATAACAAGAAAGGGACGTGAAGTTCAGAAGGGTAATGGGAGCTCTAGCATGCATGAACGCTGGCAATTGTTTATCTGGTACGCGCGCACACACATGTATGTGTGTGTTTGCGCATACTCAGGCTCTTACTTTTTATTTTATTTAAACTTAACTCTAGTAAATCCTTTTGATGATTTGATGTCTATGTAATACTATTTTAGCATGGGAAAATAAGAGACATTCTCTACTAAGATTACATATTCAAACGAAATAATTGAAAATAAAATATATAAAAAATAGTGTGAAGGAACGATTGAAAATAACAAGGGTTCAAATCACTTTTTCTCTCACACACGTGCGCACGCACGCGCGCGCACACACACACACACACACACACAAACTGTAAAGTAATTTTATTGTTTGTATCGATTTTTATTCAAATAAAAAAAAGTTACTAGAGTAATAAGTACAATCTAGTCACTGTTAAGGCATGGTCTTCATCAGTACATGTTGTAAATTTTTAATTGTTATTCATGTCTATACATATCATGAAAACTCAGCTGATGAGGAGGTATGAATCCTTCCCATAGAGTTTGTGCTCCAGTTGCGTCTTGATTTAATGATGGATGTATGTTTCGGGGATAGTTATGCACTGCTGAGCCATAACTTCCTTGGATATACGTTGAGGTAGTCCATACTTAAGATGGTACGACGGCATCATTGGCACTAGGTATAATGACCCATTGACCATACTTGACACTTCTTGTACTTTTAAGAAGAAAAATTACATACATATTGTTGAGTAAGCGCTCGCCTGTGGACTGTGGCGCCCCCCTTTAGGAACGTGGTCGAGTGAGCAACGTCCCACTCAGGCAATGTGCATTCGGACGTTGAGATGCAGGCACACTGCGAGCCCTCGTAAAGACCTACCGATTGTCCGTAGTACATCACATCTACTTATTGCACTCTCCTTATCCTCACTCCAGTCTTCACACAACATGGTGGCAGCGGTAAAAGGCTAAATCCGTACCAACAGAAGCTGAGAACTAAAAACCTTCTAAAATCGAGCTATCGGGCCGGCAGCAGGTCTGCGAGACTACGCGTTACCACAGTCCCAACAAAACTACAAGTTTCGTACCCATACTTCGTGCGTGACAGGACCTTGTTTAAGAAAAAAAAACAGTTACGCATGTGAAGTGATAGCGGTATCTAAGAAGTACTGCAGTGAGGTCAAGAGCAGTCCGGAATTTATAGAAAAATGACAGGTACTCAAGATAGCCAAAGTATATAGCAAGAAAGCAGGGGGGATTGAAGACCTAGAGTATGTTAAGGGTCCTCGGGGTTCTGTGCTAGAGTGCATGGACGTCGTATAAAGTTGAAGTGCCTGGGTTAGAGGTTCGCGAGTGCAGCGATGGTGGGGTTTGGGTGGTCTGTTATGAAGGCGCGAATTTTTGACGCAAGAACAGGGGCTGCTTGAACTGGAGGGACGATGTTAAACTCCTTGATAATCTGGGTATTCCTGATGTACCACGGAATACCCAGGACTGACCTCAGTATCTTTCTGGAAGGGCTTTGGATGTCCTTTAGTCGGTTTCCCTTTGCAGCGCCCCACGCTGGTATCACGTAGGTGCTAATGCTCTTGATGATGGCGTTGAAGGTGCGCAGCTTGGTCTCCTGGGAGACTGCTTTGTTGTTGAAGAACGGCTTTAGTTGCGCGAAGGCTCCATATGCCTTACCACGGGTGCTGTTAATGTGCCGAACGTACGTGAGTCGACGGTCTAGCGTTACGCCAAGGTACTTGGCGGAGTAGCTCCAGTCGATATCTACTCCGTTGACCCTTATCATCTGCAGTTTCTTCCTTGAATTTTTCCAAGAGATGAGCATGGCTATAGTCTTTGCTTCATTTACGACCAGTTTCCAAAGTCCATACCAGTTATGGAGAGTGATAATATTCTCATTTAGAAGGGTGGTGCACTGAGAATGTTGTTTTGACGTGCAGCTGACCGCGATGTCATCTGCATAGACGTACGTGTTGATGTCTTCGCTCTGGGGCAGGTCATGACAAAATATGTTGAAAAGGGTGGGTGAGAGTTTATGGTCTTGGGGGACTCTGGTGGTTATTGAACGGGGGTCGGAGAGAAAGTCACCTATTTCAACGTGGATGAATCTGTCTAATAGGTAAGATTTGATGGAGCCGATATGGTAGTGCGGAAAACCTAACTGAATAAGCTTGTACAGGAGGCCTTCGTGCCAAACTCTGTCGAAAACCTGCTGTACATATAGGAAAGCTATCGCGGTGAAGATTTTGAGGATGAGGCTATCAGATAGGTCTTCGGTGACTCTCAGAAGCTGGTGTACAGCCAAATGTTTTCTGTCAACTTTTTCAAGTTTATATATATATTTTCTGACAAGTAAGTTCGACGTCCGATGGGATTAAAAGACTGGTGAGCTTCTTAAGTACACTCTTTCTTGACTGAAGTTATAAGCAATTGTAACTGCCTGGATACCTCAAGGTTGTCTCCTCTGGCTTGTTGTTGAAGCCCCAGACTGATCGGCAGCAAAAATTACGAAGTCCAAAGCTTTGGAGCTAGTTGTAGAGATCTTTCCTCACGTCTCCTGATGTAACGTCGAAGACGCTGGTGTCTAAAGCAACTTTTTTTTGCAGACTCAGTTGTTTTGGTGATCTCAGATTGGGAGATTAGTTCGTGGTGCTTGTCCGTTGGAGACTATCCTGTTAGCTCAAGTTTTTTTTCTTGCATAGCTGTTAGGTTCGTCCAGCGCTGACCTTGGAGAGGATCGGTGATTCCTGGTCGAATGCTTAGAGGCGAAAGGGTAATATAGGGTCGTTGGTCACCAGGGTTACCAGCCTTGCGAAGAACAACTCGGCTCGTGACATCTGTCAATAAATGGCTGACTTGTTTTAAAAGTGGCTGGCTTTACTTAGTCTTTTAGTCGACGAATTGTTTCCGGAAATGGTAGACAAAATGTATTTGTTGGCAAAGTAGTTTGAACTAACATAACCCTTAAAAGAACCCATCAGATTGATGGTTCACTAGAAAACGTAAATACTTATAATGGCCCTGAAAAAGGCCAGTGGCGAAACTTGCAGCTATTCCTCATTATTATTCTTGATGATAAAGAGACAGCTGTGGGTAGCTTGACTCTTATTCTTCGTGTCACTGAGTACGGAGACCGTACAGGAGGGAGGTACGACGCTGACCAAAGAATATATCGTCTTCAGGTCGTTAACCAACCGTTCATCGTTCATCAGGAAAGTGGGCCTGGAGAATACCTTCTCTGGCGGTATTCCATTGCGACGACCACTAAAAAAAAGGACGTTGTGGCTGCCGTCACTCTGCAGGGCTGTCTTCCCTGGCTTACATTTAAAGTAGAAAATACTCTGACAGCACCAGGTCAAATGGTTGAACGACCTCAAAATGGTCAAAGTGTTGAAGCAGGTTGGGCTCTGGCTATACACTTATCCTGGTGTTTCACCGGAGACATTGACTTTCTTAACCCCCTTTTTTCGTGGCAGTCAGTTATTTTGGTGATATGGGGTTAAGCACGATTTATTTCGCTTACCCATAAAAGAAGAGTTGTCATCGGTAG